AATCTTTCTTTGGTCTTTTAATACTTTTATGTATAAACACTACAGAAGAGTTAATGAAATTATCACCTATATTTACAAGAATTTTTTAGTTACATAGAAATTTGATTTTATACAATAATTTGTTCAGTAACTCTTCACTATGTGTATCTTGTACTGGGAGGTAATATCCAGAACCACACAATCCAATTAACATTCATAACTCTTGAGGCTAATTGGTTTTTGCACAAGGGTTTAATATAATGTATGTATGTTGGTCACTAATATCATATTTGTGTGCACACATCACAGGAGACGTATCTCTTCCAGGAAACTCACATCATGCATATATTCAAGCAAGATTTCTATGGATCTTTACTCAGGGTGGTGATGTTAGGGTACATCAGGCCAGAGAAAAACTTCAGTTCTTTAGGTAAGTTTTAAGTAATGTTAGGTTGATACCTTGCAGAGGCTGGAAGTTTTATTTTCTAGTAGTCTGAGGAAAAACTTTTCAAAAACTTTTTCATTTCTAAGCTGTATACATAGTGCTTCATGTTTTTGTTTTGCAGAGTTGTATCCTTTGCACTTATTGTGCAGTCAGTTTTAATTATAAGACTTTCCAGTAGTTTAAAAAAAATCACTATCACAATTTAAATTTTTTGCTTAATACTTGTTTATCTCAAATTTTACAGAACTCGTGTATACTCTTGTCTTAACAGCAAACTGTAATTTTGTAATTTGTTCCATAACTCAACTGTATTGTATTCCCTCATCCCATGCTCAAGGTACTGGTAAATAAAGTAGCCTGCCTTGTGTTCCAGATCCACAATATAATTTTTAAATACCCTTTTTGCCCTCTCTTCAAGCATTTGTTCATTTAGCATTATTGCTGTTGTGCATTTCTTTATACTTGTGTGGAATTTGTTTATCTATAATGTTGCATAAAGTAATTTGTTTATATATTTGGGTATTGATATGTAGTTTTTGGCATTTCAGATGAACTAATAACTGCCATCCGCCATGATATTACAGAATCTGACAATCTCTTAGAATTACCTGAAAATCAACATTATAAACAACATCCATTTTTCACTGGAAAATCAGAACATCAGTGCAATGGTTCTGTCATTAATGGAGTTATATCTAATGGTATCATCAATGGACATGATGATGAAAATAATTTGACAAATGGAACCTCAATCGGTTAAAAAATAGTGGTAGTACAGCCAGGTGCTGCTTTTGATTTTATTTATTTTTAATATTGCTGCACTCTTGTGCAGAATTTTAACTGCAAATGAATTGTGATGAATGACGAATAAAACTGTGTGTATGTACTCTCCTACTTGTGGCTGCAAGTGGGGGGGGTTAAAGTTGTGTAGTATATGATTATATATATATATAGTATTATGGTATGTGCAACTGAAGTTTTTATGATAGTGTTAAAACTTCTGTTATATATATACCCAAATTGTAATGTATGAATGTAATTGAGCAATGAAATTACATTCCATAGAGAGATTTTAAAAACTGTAACAGGTGGAATGTTGAAAATGCAAGGCTTTTATAGGATATTTTCTCTGTACTGTATTTGACAGATAACTAGTTTTAAGTAAAGAACACCATAAACTAAACTGTTGTCATGATCATTTCAAGAACCGTTATGTTTCCTAAATACCACTTTAAAATGCATGCATATAGTGCATGCTGTGTTTACACTACCACAACAAGGGAGTGAACTTTGTAATACCCCCCCCCCCACCACCACCCCTCCCTCTCTATTTTACTTCACTAGTAACTTAATTTACATTTTGTGAAACCTAGCTCTTAGACAGGGAAGGGGGATCACTTACAGCTCTGTTCTAATGTAGCTTCTGTTGAAAGTGCTGCAGTGGTAGCATCACTCCATGGAATTTGTATCATTGTACAATACTGTATACATAAATGTACGTACCTATATTTTTTTATGCAGGACTTTATTAATGAAAAACTATTTTCATTGCCTATTTGATGACAATACCATATACAGATTGGGGAAAACAATCTTGTATGCTTTTCCAGTGTTCTATTAGTGAATGATCTCCAAATACTTTTATGCATGGCTGTAAGGGATAATTATGACATTTGTACTAATATTCAAGTGAGAAGTGGTAAAGCATGCCTGTATGCTTGATTCACTAGTTTCATGGGGAAGGAAGGTACAGATAAGAGAAATACAGTACATTACATTAATGGTTTGGGGTGCAAAACCAGCAGGGGTCATAGCACCTGAGGGAATGAGAGGAAATAGTTTTACATAAGGAATGGGAGGTTTGATACAGTTCCTTGTATCAAGAGCCCCTCACTGGTAGAAGAGAAGTAAAACATCTTAAAATTCTTTTTGCTCACATGGACAGTTTCAAAAACATAAATGCTCTATGACCTGTTCATAAAATATTACTATACATTCTTAGTTGTTCTTACATAGGAAGGTGGCTCGTAAAATTTTTTGGCATCGTGTTTCTGTATGTGCATTTATATATTAATATCCACAGGCATGTACTGTTCTGAACACAATAATCTTGGGTTGAAATGCTTTAAATCTCTTAATAATGTCTGTAGAATTACAATAATATTTTAGTTGTTAAAAAATCTAAATAAAAAGGACATGTGCAACTAAAGACATTTTATTATATGTAGCTATTTTTTTTCTCTCCAGAAGTTTCATAAAGTCAATACAAACACTACAAGGAAACAGAGGCTATATATATACATACACAGAGCACATGGTGAGAAGACTGAGGACCTTAAGTGCTGCAGTAGTCCTATTGGCTTAAGCTAGTAGTGGTAGAGGTGATATCTGGGTTTACCAATCTGAGGACTTGCTAATACAGTGGTCCCTCAATTATTGTCCATAATCCGTTCCTGGAAGTGAGACTATTATCGAAATAACGATTTTCGAATCAATTTTCCCCATAAGAAATAATGTAAATACAATTAATCCGTTCCTGACACCCAGAAGTATTAAAACAAAAAAAAAATTTACATGAAATATAGATGTAGTACATAAACAATACAATGGCACATGATGAATGAAACATTAACAGAATAACACTTACCTTTATTGGTGATTCTTCTTAGTGTATGGAAGACTGGAGAAGGAGAGAGATTGGATTATTTACTGTTTGGAAGGAGAATCCCCTTCCATCAACACCTCAGGTACCAAGTGCTTTTCTGGGGTTACTTCTCTTCTCTTTGTTTCTTAATGCCACTAGGACCAGCTTAAGTCACTGGAGTCCTGTCTCGTAAAAAAAACTGTCCAGAGACCTCTGTTTCTGGCGTCTCTTTAAAACTTCCCTAAAATGGGCCAAGACTGTCACTGTACAAGTTGTCAATATGGCTTGCAACATCCTTCTCAGGGTGATGTTTCTCCATAAATCTTTCCATCCTACCCCACATTTCAAAAATCTCCTTAATTTCTGAAGAAGGCACCTTCCATCTCTTCCTCCTCCTCTGCAGCAAGATTCTGAGCTGTGATCTGTTGCTCTTCCTGCTGAAGCTCTTGCAGCTCCTCAGTGGTTAGCTCTTCGTTGTGGTCCTCCACCAACTCTTCCACATCCTCCAAACTCGCATCCAACCCCATGGAACTCCCCAGTGCTACAATAGAGTTCACAACTGACATAGGCTCATCAGGGGCTGCCTCAAACCCTTCAAAATCCCTCTTGTGGACACAATCTGGCCACAGTTTTCTCCAAGCAGGGCTCAAAGTCCTGGTAGTCATTCCCTCCCAAGCCTTACCTACAAGGCTTATGCAATGGAGAATACTGAAGTGTTCTTTCCAAAAATCTCTTAGGGTCAAGTGAGTGTCTGAGGTCATATTAAAGCACCTTTCAAACATTGCTTTGGTGTAGAGTTTTTTAAAGTTTGAAATGACTTGCTGGTCCATGGGCTGGAGGAGAGGAGTGGTATTTGGGGGCAAGAACTTTACTGTGATGAACCCAAACTCCTTCAGAATTAGGTCATCCAAGTTTGGAGGATGAGCAGGTGCATTGTCCATTACTAGGAGACACTTGAGAACCAATTTCTTTTCCAGGAGGTAATTCTTCATACTAGGGCCAAACACTTCATTGAACCACTCGACGAAAATGTCCCTAGAGACCCATGCCTTATTAGATCTCAAAAACACACACAATTTACTCTTCATAACATTGTTTTTCTTGAACACTCTGGGATTTTCAGAATGGTACACTAGCAACGGCTTCACTTTGAAATCCCCACTAGCATTAGCACAGAACATAAGCGTCAGCCTGTCTTTCATAGGCTTGTGTCCTGGCAGTGCCTTTTCTTCCTGAGTAATGTAGGTCTTCTTTGGCATTTTCTTCCAAAAGAGGCCTGTTTCGTCACAATTGAACACTTGTTCAGGTTTCAGTCCTTCAGCCTGTGTACTCCTTGAATTCCTGCACATATTTTTCAGCCACTTTTTTGTCAGAACTGGCAGCCTCACCATACCTTATCATACTGTGTATGCCAGTATGCTTCTTAAATCTCTCAAACCAGCCTTTGCTGGCCTTAAATTCACTCGCATCACCACTAGTTGCAGGCAATTTCTTTACCAAATCGTCATGCAGCTGCCCTAGCCTTTTCACAAATAAGCGACGTCATGAGACTATCTCCTGCTAATTGTTTCTCGTTTATCCACACCAATAATAACTTCTCAGCATCTTCGAGTACTGGTGATCTCATTTTTGTCAGCAAATATTATTTACCCCCTTTGCAACAACAGCTTCCTTGATTTCCTTTTTCTTGGCTATGATGGAAGATATGGTTGTACGAGATTTGTTATACATCCTGGCCAGTTCGCCCACATGTACCCCACTTTCATATTGTTCAATGATGTTTTTTCTTAAATTCAGTTGTATTTCTCACCTTTACCAAAGGCTTGGCACTAGGAGCTTTACACAAATAAACCGCACATAAAAGAGAGAAGCTTACGACGACGTTTCGGTCCGACTTGGACCATTGACAAAGTCACACTTTGTCAATGGTCCAAGTCGGACCGAAACGTCGTCGTAAGCTTCTCTTTTATGTGTGGGTTATTTGGTATCATTCCAGTCACGGTATTGGGCCTTTTTTTATTTACTAGGAGCTTTCTTTGGAGCCATGGTAGCTTATTGAGCACTTGCAAGCACTAAAATCAATGGAATATTACGAAATATTTCGTATGAACACGTGAGAGGACCGTTGCTCACTGGTAAACAATGGCACACTGGCTGGGAAGGGAGGCCGAGGCGGCTCAGAGCGTGAGTACTCGTCCAGGACGAAAGACGATTAGCGAGTTAACGGACCATTTGTGAGCCAATGTTTAGACGAAATAACGGGACTATTTCCGAAATGGACGACTTTCAGGCCAGACGATTATTGAAGGACCACTGTACTTCAGAAATGGCAAAGTTGCCTTTAACCCTTTGGGGGTCACCAGGCCCTCTGAGACTTGTTCTCAGGGTCGCCAAAATTTCAAAAAAAAAAAAAAATATTCTTATGAAAAGATAGAAAATCTTTTCCCAATCATAATGACACCAAAAGTATGAAATTTGATGGAAAACTTAGGGAATTATGCTCTTGCTGAAGTTAGCGGTCTCGACGATGTTTACACATCGGCGATTTTGCCCACTTTGAGCCCTATTTTCGGCCAATTCCAATGTACTAGTTGACAAAAATCATAACTATATTTCGCTAGAACTCCATTTTTTCTATCAAATGAGTACAAGAAACCACCCATTTACTGATTTCAACTATCCAATAAAGTGGTCAGAATTTAGCAATTTTGCCAATTTCACACAAATTTCAAAAGATGCCATTTTCCGAATAGGGTCTAGAATAAACAAAGACATTCCTAGCACTAAAATAACAAGTTCTCTGTTCGTTAGTCACATCCCCAGGCCCCTCTTATATTTCTTTGGCTTTCCACTTTGAATTGTTATTCTTACAAAAAATAGAAGATTTACTGTTATGCAGACTACTGCATTAGCGTAGAAATGGTATAAATAATATCAGCGCACTTGTGAAAGAATATTAGACTCGCCAGTTGACGTGTATTGGACGATTGGCATGATTTGTTTACTTTTGAACTTTGGTAAAAATCAAACATTTCTGCTACTTTGAGCTCAATTTCAAGGTACTTTTCATTGTAAAACCAGTCAAAATCGTCTCATTTTCTGTAATGTGTCTTCCATTCTATAAAATGAGACCAAGAAAACTAGAATACAACAATAAATACCATACAAAAATACAGTGCAATCTCGCTGTTTTATTCCGAAAACACGGTCAGTTTTTTTTTCTCATTACGCACTGTGTGCTGCAGGATTTTTTTTTTATACTGCACACACTGACCACATAGACCCATTCTTTCATATGTAGGCCTAAAAGCTTTCTCTCACTAGATTTGAGGGCGCTAGAATTTAGGCGTACTAGTACGTCAAAAACCCTGGGGCGTAAGCCGTACTAGTACGGCCGAAACCCCTAAAGGGTTAATCGGCATATAAAATGAAGATTAACCCTTTGGGGGTTTCGGCCGTACTAGTACGGCTTACACCCCAGGGTTTTTGACGTACTAGTGCGCCTAAATTCTAGCGCCCTCAAATCTAGTGAGAGAAAGCTGGTAGGCCTGCATATGAAAGAATGTGTCTGTGGTCAGTGTGCACAGTATAAAAAAAATCCTGCAACACAGTGCGTAATGAGAAAAAAAAAACTTTGACCATGTTTTTGGAATAAAACAGTGACTTTGCACTGTATTTTCGTATGGTATTTATTGTTGTATTCTAGTTTTCTTGGTCTCATTTTATAGAATGGAAGACATATTACAGAAATTGAGATGATTTTGACTGGTATTACAATGAAAAGTACCTTGAAATTGAGCTCAAAGTAGCAGAAATGTTTGATTTTTATCAAAGTTCAAAAGTAAACAAATCATGCCATGCGTCCAATACACGTCAACTGGCGAGTCTAATATTCTTCCACAAGTGCGCCGATATTATTTATACCATTTCTACACTAATGCAGTAGTCTGCATAACAGTAAATCTTCTATTTTTTGTAAGAATGAAAATTCAAAGTGGAAAGCCAAAGAAATATAAGAGGGGCCTGGGGATGTGACTAACAAACAGAGAACTTGTTATTTTAGTGCTAAGAATGTCTTTCTTGTTTATTCTGGACCCTATTCGGAAATTGGCATCTTTTGAAATTTGTGTGAAATTAGCAAAATTGCTAAATTCTGACCACTTTATTGGATAGTTGAAATCGGTAAATGGGTCGTTTCTTGTACTCATTCGATAGCAAAAATGGAGTTCTAACGAAATAGTTGATTTTTGTCGACTAGTACATTGGAATTGGCCGAAAATAGGACGTTCTTCAATAGAACATTTGAGGCAGTTGACAGCGATAAGGAATATGATATTGTTTATTTGGATTTTAGTAAAGCTTTCGATAGAGTACCTCACAAGAGACTCTTAAGAAAAGTGGCAGCTCATGGTATAGGAGGTAAAGTTCTAGCATGGATTGAGGCATGGCTAACCAATAGAAAGCAGAGAGTTACCATTAATGGAGTGAAATCTGAGTGGGGATTAGTCACTAGTGGCGTTCCACAAGGATCAGTTTTAGGCCCTCTCTTGTTCATAATTTACATT